GGACTCCTCGAGGTGGGGCGGGAGGCGGGGCAGCTCCGGCAGGGAAGGGCGCGGGGGCGGGCGGCTCTGGCGGCTCCAGCAGCCCGGCGGCTCCAGCGGCGAAGGTCGTCGTCGTCGGCGACCAGCGCAGCCAGGGGCGAAGGGCGGCGGGGAGGGGGGAGGGGCACCCGCGGCCACGGCCGGCGACTCCAGCGGCGAGCGGCTTCCGCGGTTGCACCTGCGGCGAAGTGCGGCTCCGGCTGCACATGTTGGCCCGCTGGCGCCTGAAATATGGGCCCGGCCTGGCAGAAACGTGATTAACCGCGGCGAAGTGGGCGGTTCCACGACATGGTAGTTTTTAGTCATAGATTAGCAAAAAAAGTGGTAGTTTTCGGGATAAAATCGTAAAGTGGTAGTTTTTCGTCACGGTTCCGTGAATTGTAGTAGTTTTTGATTAAATACTCCTTCTCTCATCATGTCCTTGAATCACTACATTAATTAAACATGAAAAAGATAGATTCCACAAAGGTGTTTGTTTTGCAGTTTACATTACCTCCTAACACGATTGATTGGCTGTTTAGATAATCTACTTTGTTGTGCTATGGGCTTACTTAGAAATTCACTTGGTGTAGTGTTGAATGCGAGTAGACAAGGATGTGTCAAACTCTAATTCTTTGAACATACTTCTGCCTCCTGGAGTTCGTCCAATTCCAGTCCGCACGCCGCGCCCGACGGGAGGCCTGGGCGAGCCCATTGTTGGCTAAATTGCAGGTTATTCTGCTGGTGCTCGTAAACCATGTCCTTTTAGGCCACAGCTAAATGCACTGCAGCAGATGACTTGATTCATCATAGAGATAGAAACAATAAGTTAGCATGGATGGCAAAAGTTTGAAGGATTGCAGAAATACAATGGTCTAGTCTGTTTCATCGGTGGAAGAATGAAATGTTTTGCCAAGGAGAAAACATAGCCTGCTAAACAGAATAGGGAAAGATGGTGGCCAAACAACAGAAGCAGCTAGTTCTGATTTAAGTAAAAGGGCACCACTGCAATCCGAAGAGCATATTGGTTCAAAGGAGCACACAAACTTAAACTACTTAGTTTAACGGACATGGAAACATGCCGATGACTCGGTTCACATCTACAACGATTTAACCAAAAGGACACCACTGCCACTTGAACAACATATTTTTTCTAAAGAAGCACACAAATATAGGCTACCTAGTTTAACGAACATGCACACATGCCCACAAGACGGTTCATATTTACAGGACAAAAAGCAACTTTCATGACTATCGGGTAACAAATTGTCTGAAATGTAGTCTAGTTGTCTTGAACAACAGCTTCCTCCTCTTCAGTTGTTTTTGCAGGGAACAATTCTTCTGCGGCATATTATATTGGCTGCCCGTGTTTTCTTGCCATCTGAACTTATTATCTCATTCAATGGCTGGAAAACAATCAGCATACTGTATGAGTAAACGGGAGCATTGATGAATTTAATCTATAGAAACTTAAATCTGTTTTGCATACATCAGTTTTGTTTTGCTTCGATGATGAATTCTTCTGTTGGTCATGTTCAGAAGAAGGTGGAGCTGCAAGAGGATCCTCGGTTGCTGCGTGACCTTCTGCTGATATAGAAGACGAAGGTTTATTTAGTGCAAAACTGAAAGCAAAACATCGGTTTATTTAGTGCTGAACTGAAAGCAAAAATTATCTCTGACTCTGAGACGGTAGTAATGAAGCACTTAGTTGCGTTCATGAAAATGCTCCGGATACGCGGCACCACCAAGGCTCCCTGCCACTGCGGCCATCAACAGTCTGTATCAACGAAAAATTGACAATTGTCAGGCTCCATTGCAGCATATGAATACATCCTACATGCCCAAGCCCAAAAGAATCAAAAAAAATTGCCCTTACCATTTAATCGCGACGGAGCATCCGAAATCCGAAGACACCTAGCATTTCTTGCTGCCACCTATTGTCCAGTTAAGTTTCGGGTCAGATCAAAGGCCGATGGGTTTAATTGGGCATTGGTGGCGGTATATGGTGCTGCGCAGCTCGAGCTCAAACCAGAGTTTTTGGCAGATCTTGTCTGAATCTGCGGCTCTGAGCAGCTTCCAATCTTGGTCGGGGGTGACTTTAACATTATTAGAAGGAGAGAGGATAAGAACAATGATAACTTTGACGGCAGGTGGTCGTTTATGTTCAATACCATCATTGAAAGCTTGGATCTGAGAGAGATAGAGCTTTCGGTTAGAAAATTTACTTGGGCTAATACCTTGCTAAACCCGACGTTTGAGAAACTGGATCGAGTCCTAGCGAGCGTCGAATGTGAGCAAAAATTTCCCCTGGTAACAATCCAAGCGTTATCGCGCGGAATCTCTGACCACACCCCCCTACTGGTTGACTCTGGTGAGGCAACACATATGGGGAACAAAAATACTTTCTCTTTCGAGTTGGCGTGGTTCGAAAGAGAAGGCTTTTTGAATTTGATAGCCAGGGAATGGGCTAAAGATGCAGGAGGTCGGACCTCCGTTGAGCGATGGCAGAGTAAGATTAGGCACTTGAGAAGCTTCTTACGTGAGTGGACTAAACATCTTAGTGGGGTTTATAAGGCTGAAAAGGAAAGGCTCCTTACACTTATTCAGTCCCTAGATTTAAAAGCCGAGTCCACAATTCTAGAGACCACGAAGCTTCATGCTAAAATTGATGCGGAGATGAGATTGAAAAAACTTCTCCGTGAAGAGGAATTGAAGTGGGCGTTGCGAGCTAAGGTTCGCAAAGTTGTCCAGGGGGACGCGGACACTCAATTCTTTCACATGATCGTTAATGGCAAGCACAGAAAAAAAGAATCTTTTAGCTTGAGCAAGACGAAGGGATGATTTTAGGACAGGAAAACCTTAAATTATACATAACCGAATACTACAAGCAGTTGTTTGGACCTCCGGAGGATGATTGTGTATCCCTGGATGAGTCTAGGATTGAAGATGTTCCTCAACTTGCTGCAGATGAGAATGATATTTTGACTGCCCCATTTTCGAAGAAAGAGGTGTTTGAAGCCATTCCACAGATGAAAAATAATAAGGCTCTAGGGTGGGATGGATTTCTGGTGAAGTTTTATAAAAAAGTGTTGGCATATTATTATGGGGGATTTGATACCGATGTTCCATGATTTATTCTCTGGACAGCTTCAGTTGTTTCACCTGAATTTTGGAACGATAACTCTGCTTCCTAAGAAAACAGAGGCCGTGAGAATTGAGCAGTTCAGGCCGATCTGTCTTCTTAACGTTAGTTTCAAGATTTTCACCAAGGTAGGACTAATAGGCTCACGCAAATTGCGCATTCTGTGGTGCAGCATTTCCAAACTGCTTTCATGCCGGACAGAAATATCCTAGAAGGGGTTGTGGTCCTTCATGAAACGCTCCACGAAATTCACACGAAAAAACTAGATGGAGTTGTTTTCAAGGTGGATTTCGATAAAGCGTACGATAAAGTCAAATGGCCCTTTCTTCAACAGGCCTTGCGTATGAAAGGTTTTGATCAAGCCTGGCGACATCAGATAGAATCTTTCACGCAAAAAGGGAGTGTTGGAATTAAAGTGAATGACGACATAGGTCATTATTTTCAGACACATAAGGGCCTGAGACAAGGTGATCCGATGTCTCCTATTTTTTTCAACATTGTAGTCGATATGTTGGCAATTCTAATAGAAAGGACTAAGGAGGCTGGTCAGGTAGGTGGCCTGGTGCCTCATCTAGTTGATGGAGGTGTGTCTATCCTACAGTACGCCGATGATACTATCATCTTTATGGAGCATGACTTGGCAAAAGCGAGAAACATGAAGCTGGTGTTATGCTTATTTGAACAATTGACCGGGTTAAAGATTAACTTTCATAAAAGCGAATTGTTTTGTTTTGGAAGAGCCAATGAGGAACAAGAGGCTTATAGGCAATTGTTTGAGTGTGAATTGGGGGCTTTATCTTTTACATATGTAGGTATACCAATTCACCATCATAAGCTAACAAACAGAGAATGGAAGTGCATTGAGGATCGATTTGAGAAGAAACTGAGCTGCTGGAAGGGCAAGCTCATGTCATACGGAGGCCGATTAATCCTTATTAATTCGGTTCTCATGAGTATGCCTATCTTTCTCTTGTCTTTTTTTGAGGTTCCAGTTGGAGTTAGGAAAAGGCTGGACTTCTATCGATCCCGATTTTTCTGGCAGAGTGATGAACTAAAGCGAAAATACAAGCTAGCTAAATGGGACATTATTTGTAGACCAAAAGACCAAGGGGGTCTTGGCATTGAGAATCTTGAAGTGAAGAACAGATGCCTTCTCAGTAAGTGATTGTATAAGTTATCTGTTGAAACGGAGGCCACATGGGCGCAGATTTTCTGTAGTAAGTACCTTCACTCCAAAACTTTGTCCCAGATAACAGCGAGGCCGACGGATTCGCCTTTCCAAAAAGGACTGATGAGAGTTAAATCGGTTTTTAAATAGGACAATGTATATATTAGGAAATGGTACCACCACGAGATTCTGGGAGGATACTTGGCTAGGGGAATCACCCCTAGCGCTTCAATAGTCGTCCCTGTATCGCATTGTTCAATGACGAGACAAATCCGTTGCATCAGTGCTTCAGTCCATCCCCCTCAATATTCACTTCAGGAGGACGCTTGCCGGAAGCCGTTGGGAAACCTGGATCCATCTTGTGAGTAGACTGATGGAGGTTCAGCTGTCTCAACAGCCCGATCAGTTGCGTTGGAAGCTTACTAGGAATGGAAAGTTTTCGGTTAAATCCATGTATATGGATGTTATCAATTCTAACTCTATTCTTAGTTCCAAACATGTTTGGAAAGTCAACTTTCCTTTGAAAATTAAAGTGTTTATATGGTTGTGCATAAACAAGTCATTTTAACTAAGGACAACCTGGCAAAACGCAACTGGACAGGACCTACAAGATGTAGTTTTTGTAATATGGATGAATCCATCAAACACCTCTTTCTTGACTCCGTTAGCAAAAAAATTATGGCGGTCGGTTCACATAGCGTTTAACATTACTCCTCCGAATTCTGTTAGCACGTTATTTGGGACGTGGCTTAACGGGATAGATCCCGAAACAGCGAGACACATTCGTGTAGGAGTATGTGCTTTATTATGGGCAGTTTGGAACTGCAAAAATGATTTGGTTTTTAACAGAACAACAAATATGCATGTTTTGCAGGTTATCTTCCAAGCCACTTCGTTGGTCCGTACGTGGTCGCTACTCACTTCGACGGAGGCCAGGGAGTATTTGGTTACTGGATCTATCCGGTGGGAGATGGTAGCTCGGGCTATTTTCAACCGGTTTGGATTGCGGTCATGCAACCGGTTTGGATAGGCAATTAGTTTTCCTATCTTTTTTTTTTGCGAGCCGGTTGTGGCCTCATATATGCTTACTTTGTTTTGCTCTCTGTGAGCTTTTTTTCCTTTCGTTCACACTGTAAGACTTTTGTTGAACCATTTTGCTTATTTATATAAGTTGGCCGTATGCATCTTTTTGATACAGAGGCCGGGGAGTCCCTTTTTCGAAAAAAGAAGATTTCCTTTCGTTCAGACTGTAAGACTTTTGTTGAACCATTTTGCTTATTTACATAAGTTGGCCGTATGCATCTTTTTGATGCAGAGGCCGGGGAATCCTTTTTCGAAAAAAGAAGAAGATTAGACTTATATACATCGACATCATCACTAGGCAAAAATTCAGATGTGCTATAGCGAGACGAACTCTCTTGAGTTTGTCAGGGAGGGACAGACCTAGTGATGCAGCGTTCAGGAAGGCCTCGTCTTCAGGGAACAGCTGCAGATTCTTCGACTTCAGCAGGTACTTGACAGCATCGTCCTGGAAGTCCACCAGGCTGCCGACCTTCACGAGTTCAGCAAGCAAAGGGATGCGGTCTGGCGTCTCAAACAGCAGACCTCGGGATATCTCTTCAGCAAAGTTCGTCGCGAACTCGATCTTCTCTTTGTAACCAGCTGCAGCACCAGCACCATTGCTTTGCTGAACATACAGCTTTGAGCTCTCCCTCTCCCACCTGATCATCCGGCTGGCCCCCACGTCCACAACTTCTCCAGAGGACAGCTTCACGCGGTACCCCACCGTGATCGGCTTCGTGGTCTCCAGGATGCTCACATTCAGCAGGCGAGAGACTATGGTGTGCCGCTCTTTGGAAGCAATGTCAAGAGCCGGATCAGCAAGGAAAGCAAGGACTATCTGGAGCAGACCGGCACTGATCACCTCACGCTGGCCAGCAACTGTTTTGCAACCGCCATCCTGGCCCAAGGTGACAAAAGAATCGCTCTTCTGGGCGGCTTTGGATACTGCCTGAACACCAATGCTGCCATATATATTGTTAAGCCTTGCCCGAGAGACCGAAGGAGGATGCCATATGAAAATGGATTGTCGAGGAAGACTGTCGAACAGATCCTTGAGTAGCAGATCGTCGGGAATGAACGCGTCCTCCTTCGGCGATAAGATGATCTTCCCATCAGTGCAAACTGGGACCTTCACGCAGCCAGAGAAAAGCCTCTCCATGCTCTCGCTCCAGTTCCTTGCCATGAATTGCCAGAAAGCAGAGCAATTG